CCCCCCCCCCCCCCCAGGCACAGGCAGCACCTCACACCCAACCAGTCCTGTTCCAACTGGAAACCAGCCAGAGCTCACTTAATATTTATTAGCTTTCACACCCTACCAGTGACCTAGTGACTATCAGGTGTGGTGACTTCCCACTGCAAGCCAGTATTTGACAACTGATGCCAGTGAACACTACAGAGCAGGCAGGTGTGAGGAGTGTGTTCAGCCAGGCTGCAGTGGGCACAGCTCAAGGACTTCCCTCCCATTTGAGCCTACAGAGCATGCTGCGTGCCAAGGCACCCTTTGCAGAGCTGCAATTCACATCTGTGAGCCAGTAAGACACCCAAAAGGAAAAATCCAGCACATTAATGAAGTCTGTGTATTCCACCAAGGGTGATGAGGGTTACACTGGTTTGAAGGCAACATTGAAACAGTTACTCTAAAGCAGCAAGTGGTCACTAGAAACCCATTTCTCAAAAGCACCAGCCGTTCCATTCAATTTATACAAGAATTGTTTTCCTTAAAAAAAAGGTGACATCATGCTCCAAGCAAGAGGCAAGAGAAATACAAAAGGCGCTTTATGGTTCTACACAAGATATGCAGATGAGAACAACATACTCCCAGCTACACCCAGACATTGAAAGGGCAGCCCCTCAGAGCACAGCAGTTTCTGGCACATCAGGTCAAACAGAGGGAGCTTTGTTTAGGAGCAAGTGCAGCATAACTGGGGGCAGCTGCTGCTGCTGTCAAGCTTCAACATCTTTACAGCACTCGTTCCCAGGGATGCCCTGTGTACAGTAACTGGAAAAAGGTACTGGAATTCAGAGCGAGATGATGAGAGCGTGAATGCAGGGTGCGGATGCAGAACAAGCCACCAAGCAGAGGCAAATCCAAAGTGAAGTTTGGAATCACAAGACTTATCTGTGTGAGACAGAAGGAGACACTAATTTTAAGAGAAGCTTAAGTGTTTGTGCACAGCAAACTTTGCTTAGGGAGCTTTCAGATGCTAGCGTTAAGGCTCTTCTTCTGCAGTGCAAGTACCTGGCCTCTCCTCAGTTAGTGGTAAGGACTGCGTGGAGCAGCTGTTAGCAGAACCCACTGCAAATCTGAACAAAAAGCCAAGTAGCAAAGTTGCAGAAACATATGAGTTCAGCTACTTCCACAGATCACTTCATGATCCAGCGCATCTCAAGCCTGTCACGGCAATTCCTAAGGAATCCACTTGAGCACTATCCACAGCCTCTTCCAGGAGGAATCCCGAGACTGTGGCCCAGTGGCTGCAGCAGGCGACTAAGCCACATTACCTTAGGAAGCCTTTCCCAGCGGGACTGGGAATTGCACTTGTAGAGTTCAAGTCAGAACCCTTTCAGGCCAGCACAGCACTTAGTGTTACACATGCAGATCACGAGGACCTAGAGTTAGAGTACAGCATGCTGCAGGGAAGTCTCCACAATCCTCGAGGCAGAGATCTGTAGAAGTAACCTAGACACAGTGCCATTGATTCTCCAACTATGAAAGTCACAGCAAACCAAGCAAGCTCTGGCGGTCTAGCCTGCTGAAGCGAGAGGCAAACACCAGCCAGCTCATATTTACATGGAAGTCATGTCATTCAGGGCGTGGTCCAGTTCCTCACTAATTGCTTTGTACTTCAGTTTCTGGGCATAGAGCTCATCTAGAAGAGGTTTAGGAGGAGAACAAAAGGGAAACAATGAGGGAAGGCAAAGGAGTTCTTCCAACACCCTGGGGCAGGAAAAGCAGTATGGGATTCATGAACAGAAGAAAATGAAGTTAGATGTAGAGCCATCATGACTCCGTAGTAGTTCCCAACAACAAACGGGAGGGTTCCAACAGCCTGAGGACAGTCTGACCAGCAAGTGCCTTCCAGGATGACAAGTGAGCTCTGAGGGGAGCAGAGCCAAGAACTCAAACCACATCAGCTTGTGAGAACAACCTGCCCAGCTCAGTCAGTAAGAACCACTGACAGAAGGAGCAGCAGGGAAGAGCAACTCCATCCACTTAGGGAGAAGCTTGCTACACCTAAGGCAGGCACAGATCAATTAAGGTGCTTTGTTCTCACCTTCAGTCTCAATATAAAAAAAAGCTTGGGAGAAGTCAGTCATGTAATAGTCTTGGGCATCAGAGGGAATCCCCATTCTGTAGTACACAGCTAGGCAGGGTGAGCCAAACAGACAGGCCACACCTGTGTTCTCCATCAGATAACGGAGCAGACCAGCAGATCACCCACCAGAGGCAGCGGCAGTCCTGAAACTCGTACTGATGCACTCCTTGAGCGCTGCGCAGAGCTGGCACAGACTTCTCCCAGCTCTGGCTGCCTAGGCTACACTACAGCTGGTAATGTTGTTAACAGCTTCACAGAGCCCAGAGAACTTTGTCAGTTGTCATAAACTAGGTCACTGCAGCAGCAAGGCTGGAGACCGGAGCCAACTCTTAATCAACATGTTTCAAGGGGAGCGTGCAGGGCTTTGGAGGAGTTTTTGCACTTCCCAATAAAAGCTTGCCCTGGATCATGAGGTGGCTCAAATTGCTGCTTGGCTGCGGTTCTGGAACAGCTCAGCTGACACCATTGCTATTTCTAGATTAAAAAAACCTCCTGAGTGACTCCAGACAGTAGGATATGGCTTTGAATCTCCAAGACCTGGCACTAAAAGACCACAAAGGCACATGCTGTGGTCAAGGCAGGAGGCCTGTAAGAGTTTTCGTTTACCAGCACCACCACTCCAGCCACAGCTATCCACAGAAGAATCCAGGCACAGCCCCAGATTTAAGGGAGGCAGTTGGAACCTTCTCCTTCCACAGCTTGGGGAAAGGTAGGATTCTGCAACAGCTGGCCTCAGGAGTGCCCCCGAAGTACTGTGAAACCAGGAACAGGAGGAGGAAAGGAACCCAACCTTGGCACAGGCTCACCACCACACTGCATGGATGGGGCTTCTGGTGATTTCATCTTGAACCAGGACCGACACTGGGGAGTCTGAGTCTTCATGGGGGCTGTTTCAAGACTCACCAACTACCATGGTTGACTTGCAGCAACACAGTCTGCAGCAGCCAGTCACATGCATGAGATTTTGCACAGAAGTATGTTATTGTAACAAATACCTGTTGGGTTCAGGTGTTTTTTTTCCTATGCCACTCCTTAAATTGGGTTAAGCTGGAGCATAGGAATCCAGTTACATTCCTGAGGACATCACAACCAAAGACACACCAGCTGTGCTATCTCTCACTATCAGTCAGATACAGCAAAGTGTTTGGATCAAAAGCTTGAGATCAGCTGCAGCACAGCCAGGGAACTGTTTTCAGAGTAGATACATGGGGCATGACTCTTGAGCCCAGAAGCACCAAGCCTCACCTTGGAGGCCAAGTTAGGTCATGCTCCAAGTACTGAGGAGCAGAGCAGTGTCTCCACTCTCCAGCTACCTGGGAGACAGCCTTCCTCAGCTCCCCACTCCTCACCACATATTCTTTGGCTTCCCATCCCCAGAATCTACCTTCCAAATCATCAATGGTCTTCTCCAGCTTGGCTACAGACCGTTCAGCGAATTCAGCACGGGTCTCCGCCTGCCAGACAGAAGCAAGCCCGTTAGTACAACAGCTCTGGGATACAGGAAAGGACAACAGAGGCATCAGCCTGAGGGCATGAAGTCTCCCACCCATCCATGTCTCTCCCAAGTCAAGCTGAGACCAGCTCACCCAGCTGGGCCATCCCGACATGGTCACTCACCTCTTTGAGTTTATCAGTCAGGATCTTGATCTCTTCTTCATATTTATCCTCTTTTTGAGAGTACTGTGGAAGAGGAGAGGAGTCAGCAACCAGCAGCCCCCAGCAGGCCCAGCTACCTCTCACTCCAGAGAGCCCACAGCTACAGAGGGAGACGTGAACTCCTCACTGCAGTGCACAGGCCCACAGGAACTTCCAGCTGGGAGCTGTTCGCATCCCTACCCTAGTCCAATAGAACTGGGTCAGGAAGCAAGTCCCACATCACACCTGTAACACAAACTTGGGCACAGAAAAATTCTCATCGCAGCAGCATAAACGTCTTGGCTGATCAAGTCTGCCCCAAGGCAGGGAAGGGCAGCCAGACTTCCTGCACTCCCAGCTTCTACAGTCAACATTAGTGCTGCACTGAAATCCGTTAGCTCTCCCAGCAGAGCAAGCACAGCTCTCCTTGCCTGCTTGAGGCTGCAGTTGCATCATTTCCATCCCAGCAGGTGCTCTGGTGTCACACACCCTCCAAGCAAAACAGATGTTTCTGGCCCTTGGACAAGCAGCCCTACCTTCTCAGCCTGAGCCTCAAGAGACTTGAGATTGTTGGTGACATTCTTCAGCTCTTCTTCCAGCTCGGAACATTTACTGTGGGGTTTTGTAAAGAAAGGGGGGAGATAAAGGAAAAGAAGTGGGAGGGAAAGACAGGAGAGACAAGAAGTGAATCCATGTGCAGGGAAGACCAGGAAGTTCTTTTGGAGACAGTCTGCAGTCAGACTGGATGGGACCCTGCTTTGAGGCACTTGTGTGGAAAGCAAGTTCCCTTCCCGCCTCCAAGTTCATATTTTAAGTATTCCGCCAGCACACGCACAGGGCACTGAGCTGAGCAGCCGAGATTTGGACACAGATTTCTGCCAGACCTGGAGCCTTCAATTAGAAACTGCATGTTTAGTTTGCTGTAAGGAGGGAAGCTGTTCTGATGGACAGATGGACAGCCACCACCAGACACGCATATTTATGGGCAGAGAGGACAAACCATTCCAGGATAGAGAAAGGCGCAGTTAAGCTGAGGGAAGGAGCATAGCAAGAAGACCACAAGAGTTCTGGTTTAATGGTTCAAGAATGGAAAGGTTAGTACCTCTTCTTCAGCAACAGACAGACACTTCAAGTTCTGGTCCATCACTCTGATCTGCTCCTGCAGCTCCCGGCAACGACTGTTAGTGACGGTCACACGATGGCACAAGCCAGGTGGGGGCAAGGGTCAAAAGGAGCACCAATAACACAATACCGCAGAGCAAAAAAGGGGGTAAGGGAAAAACACAAAAAAGTCATGGTCATGACATGCATGTCTGGGCAGGAAGCACAGTGCTACTGCTGCGTACATGCTAACTTTGTTAGACAAGGCCCAGAGTACAGAAAGGCCCTGACCAGCTCCTCACGGATCAGCTGAAGCATCCGAACACGTGGGAGGAGCCCAAACACCAATTTGTGTCTGCTCCAAGCAGAGGAAGTCTAGCTTGCTGCTCAGCAGTGCAGAAGCCTGTAGTGATTACTGCAAATATTTTAAGAGGCCAGAGACCAACCTCAGCCTCAGTTCTGCCCTTGGACATCCCACATGCCACTTCAGCTCCTAGCCTGGGAGGCCTCTGCCACTTTAGGATGAGTGCTGTGCACTCACGTGCCCCACAGCAACGTGTAAGGATCTCGTGACATTAGGTACAAAGCAGTGCTGGTGAATACCAAGTGGAGGAGGATTCTCTGGCCCCGCTAACTAGGGAGCCCCTCCATCCAAAGGGGCAGAACATCTCCACTGCAAGGCAAATGGCACCATCGCAAACTCCACATCCTCAGTGGACCTAATCCAGTTCCGAGCAGGAGAGTGCTTCCAACTCTTTCACCTGAGGATCTAAACCCACCCTGTGCTTCAGGCCTTGTGTAACAAGGTTAGAAATGGTGTGTTAGTTCCCATGCAAAGGTAGACATGCCAGTTACATGCAAGCAGATTACTCACGACTCTGCAAGCTCAGCTCTCTCTTCAGTACGCTCCAGATCTCCTTCTATGATCACCAGTTTCCGAGCAACCTGGAAGGGAGAATCAGAGTTAAGAGGAAGGAAGATGATTTTGTACTTGCAGGCTGTGCAAGGCAGTAAAGGGAACAGCTGCAGGAGTCACTGGAGCTGCCAGAGTCTTTTGGCCAAGGGGAACACTGAGGTAGCTCTGCTGAGAGCCAGGCTCTTCCCTGAGGTTTGCTGAGGAAAGCCCTGTCAGCAGGGAGAAGAGCCACCTCTCCTGGCCACGGTCAGCTGTACTCAAGCATCCAAGGGTCTCACCTCCTCATACTTCCTGTCCGCCTCCTCTGCAATGTGCTTGGCTTCCTTGAGCTGGATCTCCTGCAGTTCCATCTTCTCCTCATCCTTCAGAGCTCTGTTTTCAATGACTTTCATGCCTCTGCCCAAAAGAAAGCACAGGGAGGGGAGATGTATAAAACAATCCTGTACAAGCCAGCAGAGTAATGAGTTTCAGAGCATTAAGAGTGCTCCCCCAGGGCCACATTGCTTCCTCATGAGCCACGACACCTCCAAGTGCAGAGGGTAGCACAGGAAGGCAGACACTGCTGGGCTGATGCAAATACAGCAATCTCAATTGCTCAGAATTAACTGTTCCTTGGAGCATTACTCCAGCAGCTCTTTGGGCTCCTGGGCCAAGGGAAATGCGGTGCTGCCGAGAAGAACAAGCCAGGCTGTCTTAGGGACTCCACACAGCTCAGCCAAGCACTTTCCAGGCCGGAATGCAGGAAGAGCCAAGTCCATCTTTATGGCAGGATATCAGCTGGGTCAGGCTGCTCACTACAGCGTGCACACCGATGAAGCACATCAGCCAACTGGAAGTGGACCGCTCCCCTCTGAATCACACCAGCAGGTCAGGGGACATCTGCCAGAAGGGAGGATGCTGGCAGAGGCAGTGGGAAGAGAGGCTTCCCCACCAGCAGCCACCTTTACAAGTCAGCAGTGTCCCAGAATCCACTTATTTCTCCTCCCTTGGCAGTGGGGATGCATGGTAGCACACAGCACTTTCTCACTCCTTAGCCTCAGGTTCCAAGATATTCACTCAAGGCCAAGAGCATTGTTTTAGTTGCTCCGCATAAGCAGGTACCGACTCCCACATCCAGCCTTGATGTGGTATCTACTTCCCACCCTCCAGGAAGCCCAAGAGGTTGATGGCACCAGGCCCTTGGTCAGGAACACGTCTGAGATGTTTGACAGAGTGAGAGCAGCAGCCCTTGCTCACCTTTCACTTTCATCTGCAGCCTTCTCTGCCTCTTCCAGCTTCTGCAGAGCTGTGGCAAGGCGCTCCTGGGCTCGGTCTAACTCCTCCTCTACCAGCTGGATACGGCGATTCAAAGATGCCACTTCTGCCTCAGCCTAGAGGGAGCAGATGAGGGCGACTCAGTCTGTGGCAGGTTTCGCAGTTAGGGCAGGGCAGTCAAAGTCTGCCTTCAGGTCAGCAGCAGCACATGGGAAGCCAAAACAAAGCCAGGGTGCTTTATCCACTTTCTTACAGAGGCTGCACTCCCATAGGCTTGCGCGCACAACATTTCACACACGCTTTGTCCACACAGCAGTCATCCTGCAGGTTTCTTGCCTGTCAACTTGAGCTGACATGACAGTTTAAGCCATAAACACTAAGTAGATGATTTACACTAATGGATCTTCTCTGCAGCTGCTGTAATCCTGCCAGGCCATCAATCAGTCCTATTTATCCACCACACCAGAGCTCTGTGACAGCTACCACTTAGCACAAAGTCAGTTTACACATGTGATCTGGACATGAGCATTGCTTGAAACAAGCTCTCTCATCAGCAACATGATAAAGACTAACAGGTTCAGAGGTCTGCCAAGCTGTGTCAGGGCACTGGCAGGCCAGGCTTTCTACAGCATGGCCCTCACCTGGGGCAGCAGCAGGGCTCAGCTGATCCCTGTAATGCCTACAACTGCAGTGGCTCAAGCCCTGGAGAGCCCACTGTGCTCTAGGCTTCCTTCCCCGCAGCAATTCACTAATAACCCAGAGAAAGAGCAAAAGCCTCAATCCAGGCTTGAGACAGGTTGAGGAGGCTGTTGTCCAGCAACAGCCACATGCAGACAGCCACCTCAGCTCAGTTGTACGTGCCAGGAGCCGGTGAAATTGCCGAGAGCCCGCAGGCGCCACACATTTGCCAGAAGCGCGACCAGAAAAGTGACCAAGGCTTTAATGAACCAGCAGAGATCAGAAGCCATCGCCCCCCCCCAGCCAGGCCTGTCACAGCAGCACTGCTGTTGACCACGAGGCATCTGCTTACAACCCAGTCTGTGTCAACCCCAGCCAGAGCCTGGGGGGAAGCTGAGACACCTTGAGGACACTAACGCCCCACCTGAGCCACCCCAGGGGAGCCCAAAACCCAATGTACAAAGATGGACAGAGCTGTAGAAGATCACAGTGCTGCCCTGAAATGGCTGCAGAGACCTGTGCACAGGCACATGCCAGGCATATATGAAATATTCAAGCTACTTGTAACAAAGCAGCCTGCAAGGACATGCTGCTTCTAATCATGCCCAAGGAGGGAGGAGCAGAGCAATGAAAGAAGCCAGTGTTAGAGCAGGGCCCAACAAATCCTGTTCAGTTCCTGGGAGAGGCTGTCCGAGCTCTTCCCCC